AATGGAATTTCACAGAGCTTCTCTTGAACCTCAAGTTTACATCTGATGAAAAATTCAGCAATGTCATTTATCTACATGGATGCCCATATGCAATTCCATGGGCATTGATTTTTGTTATTTTTCTTGTTGCTGTTATTAATTGTCTGCTTCCATCACGTTGTCTTCTGACTTGAATCATCCAAGTTCAGTGTGGAACAAATTGACCAAAATGAGACCCATGAAAGCTGTTAGCACTCCTGGATTACTGTTTCCTTACCTTGTTAGCTTACCAAAAAAATAACTTAGAACTTACAAATCACTTACAATGATCCTCCTGTAATTGCAGAAGAATCGAAATTTTAAAGGTCACTCATCCTTGAAATCAGTACAATTGATTTTTTTATAGCTTACTGTCAAAAACCATATTTATGTTTCTGAGACAGGACCTGATAAACTTTCTCTCTGAAGCACTATTAAATAATAGTGCTCAATGAATAGATTTGCAAAACACAATTTCATACACTGGTACTTTGATTACAGGTAATGCAGCATGTCATCACAAACATGGAAAAAGTCCTGACATGTATCACTGAAAGTTGTCTTGTATAGAAGTAAGAAATGTTTTGATGCTGATTTTCTTGATATCACATATTACATAAAAATGTGTCCTCTTTTTAATGCAGATTACTGATGGAGACCAGAATATAAAACTCTGTCAGGTGGAAAAAAAAAGGAAAGAAAAAAAAAATCTAGATATTATGAAGAAGTTCTTTAATGTGAGGGTGGTGAGACAGTGGGACAGGTTTCACAGAGAAGTTGTGGATGTCTCATCCCTGAAAGTGTTCAAAGTCAGCTTGGATGATCTCATGAAAAGTCTGCCCAGGGCAGGGGGCTTGGAACTGGGTGATCATTAAGGTCCCTTCCAACATAAACCATTCTATGGTTCTATGATCCTATAGCTTTTCTATCAATGGAAGAATATATTTACAATTAATATGACCACTCAAGTAAACAGATAATTATGAAATCCCTCCCTTGCCTTGTGGATTAAACACCAAGGCCAAAATTCTGAAGTAGGGGTAATTATTTAATGTGATTGACTACTTATTGCTAAGTGCTGAATTCTCAGTAAATTTGACCAAAATCACATGCAAATTTTGATACTTACCCCTTGAAAAAATCATTAAAATCATGGTATGCTGTCAGATGTGAAAATAATTAAGTATACAGGGGAGGTTTCTTCAAATATAAAATGAGTACAGGTACAAAACATCCCCTTTCTTCAGTCATTCTGAGGTAAAATGATTTCAATACTCCTTGAGATCTCAGCACCAGATTCAAGCTGCATCCCTGCCATGCTGTCAATCCTCTGTTCCTCCACCATGTTCCACTCTGGTCCTGCTGCAGCAGCAATATTATTAGCAGCAATATAATTTCTTCTTTCTTTAAATAATTTGCTAAATGCTTCTGTAACTACTCATAGAATGAACACTGACCACAGTTTCTGCTTAAGAATCCAGTTGGAGAATACGCTGAAGGTACTTATTTAATGACTGTCAACAGGGAAGAGTTTGGTTCTTATTTTACACAACTTTAGTTGTCTATAGTTCTAGTAATTATCTAAAACACAAAGCAATGGAAGGATATTTTTTCCACATATGCATAGAGTGGTTATGCAAAGTTTTTTCTCCATTACCTTAGGCTGCTAAGTCATGTAGCCACAACAGTATCAGAAGGATTCAAATGTAACCTTTAGAAACATTTTTGTTTGGTTGGTGGGATTTATATGGGATGGATGCTCCGCAAACTAGTTTTCTGTTCAAATAAAGTGTGATACTTGCGGATTAATTCTGTTTGCACAAATGTGGAACAACCATCTTTCTTTGAGGGGTTAATCAGGAAAAAAAGTACTTATTATAGCAGCCACAAAACTTCAAGCAATTTTTGTTTCAAGTGAGTTATTATTCCACCACGCAAAACCCAACAACTGTGTATTCCCTGTAGCACGCAGTATTTTTTCTAAGCTGTCTCTCAGAGGATTTTCTTACCAGTTTTCCCTAGCTGATTCTTGTAAGGGCATGGACTATAAACACAGGGCGCCAACTGCTGTACACAAGTGCCTTTATTTTCTCTTTCTCTTTCATTCTTGCGTCCAGAACATTTCATTGCTGATAAATGCTCAGAGCTACTGTACTAACTTGTCAAGTTGTGCTGGTTTTACCTTATATTTCAAAACAGTCATACTTCCCAACAATACCAATATAATTCAGAATCATTCTCATAGACTTTTCTTTAGCTATTCTTGTCTATTTTTCATAGACAATTTTCCTTAACTTGCCTGCATAGCAACACGTTGTGAATGGAATAGGGAACTATGAACAAAAAATGCATTTGGATACTGAGCAGAAAATGATAACCATTTCTGGCATGGTTTTCATAAATTATGCTCATACTGCTTTTGTGATACATGAAACTTAGAAACTTCCAAGATTAAGAAAATGCATTTCTGAAATTCAATGAAATATCCCCACTGTGCCTCCCTCTTTCTCACTCCTCTGAAGAGGTTCCTCTTTTCAGGAAGTCAGTCACATTTCTTGTCAGTTATTTTTTAATACAGTACTGGTGCTTCAATTTCTCAAACTATTAAAATTATAGTAGGTTTAACATTTTTATCCATTTTACTGAAGTTTAGTACTTAATATTATGAATGCCTCCTTCTGTTTGGTTTGCTTTGAAAGTTTGTGAAGGATGGCTGTACTGCAGAGATTTAAATGACATTTTTCCATGAGAGAAATACATTTTTCCTAGAAAGTGTCTTAGAGTCACATTTTAAGAGAAGAAATTGCAAAACTGAATTAGTGCATAAATCAGAGAAAATATTTATTTACAGACATGTAAAAATTATGTTACAACATTTTAAAGAAAACTGTAATGAACCATCAATCTGCTCTAATGGGCAAACTCTGAATGTTTCAAATCTAAATTGCAGTGGCACCAATTAAAAATAGGACTGCTAACAAGATTATAGTTATCTACATAGTTTAAGTACAGTGATTTTTCAGAACTAAAAATGGATCTACAGAGAAAACTAATAGGAACTGCAACAATATGTAATACAAGGGTTTACAAAAGTAAAAATATTTTTTCTTGATCCAAACTTTAAAGCTTTAGTAAACGTTTTCCATTCATGCAGCTGCCCATGTTTGAAACAAACATCTGAAATACTCAGAGCATATATATCTGTGTAGAAAATGAATTGGTTTGATTCAGGACTGTTTGTAAAGGATTTTATGACTGTTGACTGTGCAAAATGATTGAGAATATCCTTTATGTTTCCTATTCCTCCATATTGCAAGGGATGAACAATGTTGAAAAATCCCACAATTGACAGAACTTATGTCAAACAAATAACAGGTGATGGCAAACAACACCAAGCATACTGCATACATGGACAGTAGAGAACTATTAAGCTCTGTCAAAGCTACCAGCATCCTCTGGAGTGATTTTAAGCAAACATGCCATTGAGAAACCTTACTAGTAATAGACTGCATGGGGCAACAATCTTCTGGCTTGCAAATGAAATAGTGCCTCATGGTGTCATCAGAGATGACTTTTGTCTTCAAAAAATATCCAGGATAAATTCAAAATATTCAGGACTTAAGCTGTGGTGTGGAACAGTGTCAACATTATGAAGTGCAATCATTTCTGTGAGTTTATACTCTATGGTAATGATTGTGAAGAACATTTAAAAATCTCAGAATGTTTTCTGTGAGTGTTAGCTCATTTGGAATGGAAGTGGTGAAGAGACAATATACCTAGATGTTTCTCATATCTAGTTTATTAACACCAATATTAGAACTGATCTCCTTGGATGACTTTCTGCATCTTTTAAGTCAGCCAACAGTTTATGTGATTTAAATGGTACAAATGCCCCTCGAGCTGCTGAAATTTGGAGTTCATTTTTTAACTGTCAGCTGAAGACAGAAATCCCAAAATGGCGATTCTTTTTGCATTTTTATAGTTAAAAATGTTCATAACCTATATTAAGAGATAGAAAATGGAGAAGTATTCCACCTTCTGATTTGACCTAACATTTCACTTACATGGGAGTAATATTTTTTTCCTGCACTTTTCTTGGAGAGTCAGCCCTGATAAATTCTGAAGCTGCAGCTCTTTATGCTCAGGTATAACTACTTGTGCTAGTCTTTCCTTATTTAAGGAGCTGGGTACTACTCAGTACTTATGTAAGCCATGTAACTCCACATACAATAGACAAGCTAAATATAAGGTATACAAATGTAACTGAGAGTGCAATGTCACATAGCTACATAGTGAAAAAAATTCTCACTCAGTAATAAGTAATTAAAATGTATGCTTTTCTTCCAAATCTTTGAAAAATATCAGTCCTTCTTTGTTGTTGGTCCCCATGCCAGAAACCTGACCAGAGACCTTGAGCTCTCACCAGTTTACAACCACACTACTTGAGGTGAACCTGTCATCTCAGAAACTGCTTTTTAAAAGAAAAATATAAAGCTAGTTTTTTTTTTAAAAAGTCTCTCCGGTACCTTTTGTTTTCTCTTGTTTTCAGCCTACAGAGAATATTTGAAAGGGCAAGACAAGAGTTCATTTTTGTAGTGCTGGATCATCTAAAATAGCAAGTACCCCAGTCATGGAGCTCAGTGGTCAGGGCTTAATGCTGCAGACTGGGTCTGTGCTCCATTTGACTGTGTAAGATACTTCCTAAATTAATGCCTCTCCCTCTTGGGAGGCTGTAGCTAATAAATAATTTATTTACCCTGCAATCACTTTAAAGACATGTCTCTTTCTATATGAATACCACTCACATAAAGATGTAGATGAATAAATACATATTCCTTGTTTCATGCCATCTGCAATGCTAAAGAGGTCTGACTTTGGGATGGTGAACAGGTTGGTACTTTTCTAGAGGAAGAAGTCCTTGTGCCTGTATGCTTTTTTACCTTTAATGTCTCAGTAACACAAGAGAAATAATGCATCCATTCTGTTTGAAAGGAAATATGATTTATTAAGAAATTCTATACTGAGATTCCCCCTACATCTGTAATAATTAATTATTCCAACTTCAGTCTTTCAGGAGTGCCTTAGCAGTTTGTGTGTGGAAAGACTACTGCCAGAAAAGAAACCAAAAAGTAATAAGTAGGCTAACTCAGGCTTTCAGATATTGGCAGGCTGTAAGTAATTTTTCTGGCTAGATGGGAGGCTGACTGACTTTCCATATGGTAGCAACAAACTGCCTTTAAAGATTTGCAAGAACAGCTGTAACAACTGTCTGATGAATGGCATCACAGAGAGGGCTTATCTGAAGAAGGGGATTTACAGGAGGATGCAATTTACAATTTATCAAGGATTGCTCTCTTATTTTGACATTTTCACTTTTTTGAAGCTATTCTAATACCAAATGTAATTATTTCCAATGACAAATAATTGAATAAAATAATGGGAAATACCATACGATGTATTTAATTGTGCACTGATCAAAATGGTCTTGTTTGAACTAAGCAGTAAACAAAGAAGTGCAATATCACCTGACTCTAAATATGGTAAAACAGTAAAATGTGCTAATCATAAAAATAGCTTTTAGAAATATACATTTGTATACAGTGTTTTCCACACCTGTTAAATACGTCCTTCATATTATTATGATACAGTACATTGGCCTTTAAGACATCAAAATTAAAAAAATAATACCAATAATTAGCCAGAGAAAAACACATTTACAATCTAAACCATAAAAATCTGACAATTGTACAGCTTAGAACATATAAGAAATGGAGTTTCTAATATTTGAACAATAATGTCCATTTTAATAAGTAAATTGAGTTTCATACAAATTGAGTCAAAGGTGTTGTCAGCCAGTAAGAAACTGCAGTTCACAATTTTCTGTGGGGAAGTCAGAGTTTCTCTTCTCAGCCTTCAGAGGGTTCACACATGACATTTCATCACTTGATCTGTAGAAACTGAGAAATGAAATGTTGACTTTAGTATGAAAGGATAGAATTTCTTCCAGGAGAACCTCAAAAAGAAATAAGACAGCTGGGGAAAAGAGCCAAGAGGACTATGACTTGACTTTTTCACAAATCAAGCAAATATCAATGTCTATAATGCTTTCCCACCTTAAGCTATCGAATGTTAAAAGAAGAATAGTGATCCTGCAGCAGTGGGAAGTCAGGACTGTGCAACAGTCTTGAGTTGACTGTATGGACCAAAATAATAACAGCAAATGAAGCAAGAGCTATTGAAGCTGAAGTATACCTCCCCTCAATAATGCTATGCAAACAAAGGCTGAATAATTTCTATTTTAGCAGCAGGAAATAGCATAATGCATCTTGGCTGCTTTGCAATGAAATGCTTTATTTGCATAATAGCATTCAATTGAAATAAATTGCATGTAGAATTCTTTGCTTCAGTCCCATCATGCTATTTATATACCTTACTCCATTTCCATTGGCTGTGAATGATTTCAGCAATGCCTATAGTTACCAGATTGATAGATTTTTTCTCAGTAGCTTCCCTTTTACTTTGCCTATTTTGCTATTGTTTTTGTGTACCTGCCATAGGATATAACTGTATATTCTTTGATATCTTTTGTTGCTTTAGCAGCCACACTGTGAAATGCAAAAGTCCAGTGTTAGCCAACACTTTTAAGGTTCGTTCTTCCTGCAGAGGCTGGAGGCAAGTTACATCTAAATATCTGAGTCCTGCTATGTGACCCATGAATGCTGGCAGCTTCAAGTAGGCATTGAATGATGCTGGAGGGGAACATAAGGCACACCAGCTCCACCTACCCACAGGGAAACTGACAACACTTTCCTAATTGCATCTGTTTGGAAAATTGACAGTAGAAAATGTTAGCAGAAGTAGATGTCTGCTTTAAATTTTTAAAGTGAAATTTTCAATCCAAGGTTTTTTTTAAATTTTGATAGGAAAAATATCTTTCAGCCAGCCTTTTCTGCACTCTTTTTTTGTGGGGGAGGGGGTAGAGTCTATCTTGTTATATAACTGAAAAGGGAAACGGCTCATGAAACCTGGTGCACTTCTGATCAACGGCTGAAAAGCTTCCAGATGTTCTTTTCAACCTATTTCCACCTCTTTCAATGAAAAAAAAAAAGGGAAAAAAATTCAGTTAAAATTTCCATGTACTGAAAACCTGGTTTTCCAGAAAGATCCAAGTCATGGCAGGACTGGCCTCCTGACCATTGAAGAAGTCAGGCATCAGATTTCCCCTTCACTGCAAAGAGAACACCAGGTCTGTGGTTGTGGTCTTCACAGGTAACGAGGATTTGGGAGAAAAGCTCATGTGAAGAGATGCCAGAATTTTCTTCTTTCAGTTAAATTGTCCTGAAACTATTATTCTCTACTTGCACAGAGAAAAATCTTCATCTCTCATGTTTTAGATCTGATCCCTAGAAAGACTAGCTATAATAAAAAAGACCTTTAAATTCTTCCCTTAAGTCTGAGAGAGGCTTAATGGTTTTAACTAGCTATTCATCTTAGAAGGAGTAGAAAAAAAAAAAAATCCCACTGTACATCCTATTAGCTCCAAAGAGAGTTCCTCTTTTCTAGCCTTTTTTCAACTAAAATTTGCCTTCCATTATGCCATTATAAGAAGCAACAATTATGAAAGCATTAAGAGGCAGATTTTCAAGTTATTTATCGAAGCTTTCTTCCCTTGCCATAAACCTTTCAAGCCTTTACCTGTCACAGCACTAAATAGCTTCATTAGGTTACTATTGTGAAACATAAATGTTGCTAACCATGTGGACTCAAGTCACCAATGTTGCTTTGCTATTGGTTGGAAACAGTGATAAAAATTTAGCAACCCCACCAGTCCAAAATATTCTTGTGTTCTTCCTTCAGTACATGGATTTCTTATTTGCCTCTCACTACAAATAACAGTGAAGTCTGAGAGGAAACATTAAAATCTGAAAGAGCCAAATTTTTATTTTCCCTGTAATGAAAGGAATCCAGGGCTATGATTAATATGGAGTAATTCAATGCTAATTTCATTCTATTTCTTTCTTCTAAATAGTGTGCAGTTTATCATGTGCCTTTATGGCAGTGCTGATGATATTAAAAAAGCCTCATGATGACTAGTGGGCTTTTAAAAAAATTTTTCATTTCTTTCCCCTTATATATAAAAACATCTCCTGACACAACAAGAATGAACTGAATTACATATAAGCCAGTAATAAGGCTTTCATTTGATGTAGTTCTAACCGAAAACCACTTTAGAAAGTGTGATTTGAACATAATGCATTTTAAGAATTTAATAACTCAACTGAGCATATAGACTTGGCATCCATAGACAATATCAAAGAAATGTCCTAATTGCCATCATAATCTCTGAAAAAAAGATGGAGAGAGTTTATGGAATATTTATTGGTTCATTTTCCACCTGAAATTATTTTTGCTGCTTTTTTCCCTATCTGGATAGCTTTTCGAGCATGAGGTATTGGAAACACTCTTCTTAGGCATAACACTGTATTTCAAACTTCCAAAAATGCTATTGCTAGTTCTAGTAGAATCCTTCTGCGATTTTTGCCAAATTCAAATTCTGCTAGATTAAATTAATTTTAACTATACACTATTACATTGTATTTAACATGGGAAAGCCAATGTTAAATAGTTTCCTTCTCACAGAGTTTATGGGAAGAGCATTCTGGACTTTACCATGCTTATTTTCCAGACCTTAATGCACAGGAATAAATTTTACTGTATGAGAGTGTAAATTCATCATATGTTTTTGGGAGGAAGTATTAGGAATGTGCTATGACTAAATGACACAAAAGATGTACCTGATTAACATCTTTACCTTGTTAAGAAAATGCTTAAAGAAACGTCCCACAGAATAGAGTTGTTACAGACTTCACCGCATGGTTTACCCCACAATAATTATAAGTGATAAGAGCATCCAAAATACATGAAAGGCATTCATCTGACAAAATGCATCTGTTTTTAAAAGATCCTTTGGTTCTGAATGGCTTTTATGATAAAATTAATCTTAGAAACTCAGAAAATGCAGCTAAAAAGAGGATGGATAGATGATGGTTCACATATACGTGCGAACTTGAAACCCAGACCCTCAAGTATTTTTTCCTCTTACTCTCCTGTCTCTTTTTCCTTGACAGACAAACCTATTCTCAGGACTGGAATTCTCATTTTAATAACTGTAATGGAAGCATCTGAAGCTACTGCTGACCACTGCTTGGTAAAATTGCACATCTATCTTTTCCAGGCTCCTCTTGAGTAGGAGACTTGATGCTTGACACCTTTCTAGGTTTCTGCTGGTGTCTGCCTATTCTTTGACAGAAGGTTATGTGTCTGCCATACATCACTTTCGGCAAAACAACAGCAAGCCCCATTAAAATGCAGCAGGTATACACTGTCCTTTCACTCCCAATGCTAGCTCTCATATATGTGCTACCTCAAACTGCAATTGTAGCACAACTACTTTCATTACATCTGATGCTCTCTCCTAATACTGTTACCTACAAATGAGAATTCTCAATCCAGGTCTACAGATGCTGCTCTTATGTCCTCAAGGATAGCATGCTCTCTTTCATCTCTAAGAATTTCTTTTGATTATGAAATGCACTTTCTGAACAGCCAAAGAGATGAAAAAATGGAATCTGTCTGCAGAGCAGGCATTTAAAAAAAAAAAAGGCAAAACAAATACAAAAAATTAGCCAGAACGTAGTGGGCATTATTGAATCTAGATTATTTCTGTACAATGAGAAAAATCATAATGCAGTACAGAAAGTAGTAATACAAATTGCTATTCTGATTATTTGTTATGTCTAACTCAATATCCTCCTTTTCTCTTAAGCAGGCACTCACACTGAGTGCAAAACATTGTAATTTATATTTGTAAGGTACCAAGTGCATGGGGACACACGCTTTTGTTGGCTTTTACACAGCATTCTTCATCATCAGTGGAAAACCACAAGGAACAAGGAAAGCTTACCAAGGAACATTGAATTTGTATTAGCCATCAAATTGTCTTCACAGCTGTGTTCATTTGAGATACATCTTGCACTTTGTCCCTTGATTTAAAGCACCAAATCTCTAACTCAGTAACAGTCATAGAGACGATTTAGTTTAATGCCCCCATATGAAATGTAAATGCTCAGTTCAGTAGGTGTGACCAGGGGAATGTGAATGTGTGTCACACTTTTGCTGCTTTCAGTTGTAACCCTTGCAGAACATGAAAAACAAAACGATGGCACTAATGCAATTTTTTTTGTAATGAACTAGTGATAGAATATTCACTGCATTTAACAAATAGAGGGATTGTACTGTTTGATAAATGTTAATAAAAGATAAATGAAAGAACTCTTGCACCTTCTTTAAACCCTTCTTCAAATGATGAAACCTAATCATTATGTTTTGGACTCTGCCAATCATACTTTAACTGCTAAAAACATTACAGAATCGTTTTTCTGTTCAGTGAACAGCTTAATTGCTTTGAAGTGCTAGTATTTATGTGAATACATGTGAGAATGATTGTTTTAGTCATCAGTGAAAACAAACTTCTATCTTCTCTGCCTTAAAATGCTCTGTTTCACTTGTTTGTCCAATAAAAATCGGCAGGAAGAATAAGATAGCCATATCAGATACTGATTTTTCCCCTAGACCATCATATCTTTTTTTTTCTCAGAGTCCAGGCAGAATTGTGATAAATGCTTTTGGGTGTAGTGATGGAGACAGCATCCAATATTTGGAGAGTGCTAGTGAGGACACACTGCAGTTGAGGTGATGGTTATGTGTGAGACTGAAGGAATGACTTTGGGAATAGTCACCATGGTCATTTGAGAGCTTGAGTGGGGCCATGAAGAAAAGAAGGGGATCTTTCCACTTTATTTAGGCTGTGTGTTTTTTCTCCTGCTAGACTGCTTTTGCAGTAAAATCTTCCTCTGCAAGGTCCGTTATAGTAGTAGGAAAAGGCTTAGGGACTAGT